GAATGCAAGTGTTTTTGGGTAGAGCATCTTTGATATGAAGGACACCATGCACATGTTTGCTTTTCATGCCCGATTGATTGCCGGGTTCGTGAGTAGCGCGGCCCGAGGCTGCGCAGGGCGTTCCCCGACCTGCTAGAGGAGATCGTGCCTTGGTCAGGTGGGAGCTCCGCTGCTAAACTGTGACGCTCAGAATGGTGCTCCATCTGCCAGAGGAGCGGTGGACAGAATCTGTTTGGGCGGTTGTCGGGGTCAATCCGAGGTTTGGCAGGGTCTCATTTCAGCTGATCTACATTTTGGCCTGGGTCCTGCAGTGCAAAGTGCCCGGAGGAGAAATGATGCTACACACACACACACCCGCACAGCTATGCATAAAAACTTCCATAGAACTAATTTGTGCCTCTCTCTCTCTCTCTGTCTCCACGCGTGCGCTCTCTTTCTCTCTCTCTCTCTCTCTCTCTCTCTCTCTCTCTCTCTGTCTCTCTCTCTCTCTCTCTCTCTCTCTTTCTCTCTCTTTCTCTCTCTTTCTCTCTCTTTCTCTCTCTCTCTCTCTCACTGTTTATGCACATCTCCATATTTGTGCACCTCTATGGGGCAATCTGCCTTCCGAATATATAGAACAAAGGAGGAGAGGCACTGCTGATCCAGACGCTCTCATTCACGTCCTGCTCAGTCGCCATGTCGCTTTTTCCTGAAGCTTTCCTTTCGAAACCTATGAGGTATCTGCAGCTTGGTGACCCGCCCAGCAAGCTCCCTGAAATGGACTCCAACTTGTGAGAGTTATTTGTTTCGGGTTCGGGGCTGGCAGCTGCTCCGATCGGTTCCGAGGTGCCGGAGGCCCTGCTCTTCCTCCGGCGCCTCCAGCGCCTGCAGCTCCTGGAAAGCGACGAACCCAGCGGAGCTTCGGCGCGGGAGTGGAGCTTCCAGCGGAAGGACGAGGCTGGCGTCTGCGTGGTGGAGGATGGGAAGGCCCAGCATCAGTTCGTGGTGGTGGCTCGGCAGAAGTGACGCATGAAATGTTGCTTTACGAGCCCCGCGCAGAGCTATTTTATTGCTTGCCGGCTTTCGTTGAAGAGATCTTCCTTGGATGTGTTTCTTTTGTTCGGTAACGTTCCTTTCTGTTTGTTGCCTTTTTGTTTCTCAATTCTTCTGTTGGCCGGCAGGTCCTGTCAGGTCCTTTGGTCAGTGCCTTTCTGTGGTGTTGCAAGCAGGTTTGGAGACAGCAGCCAGAAACCAACAGAACACCATAGTCTGTTCCATTTTGAGACTTTGAGACCACCTGCTTTCTCCTGCTGGAGTCTCGCTCTGATGCCCCGCCTTGCAGGTTCGGAAAGACGAGCTAGCCGTGGCATTCCCTCTTGACCGGGTGCCGGCGGCGGCTCTGGTTTGCGCCACCCTGCCGTTGCAGCAGCTTCCGCAGCTGCACACGCGCCACGGCAAGGGAGAAGCAGCGGGGTTTGGCCAGGCTCTTTGGCAAGCTGAAACTTCTGGCGTTTCTAGGTGTTTCTAGCTGTACCTGCTCATTCTTGCCAGGGATTAGGAAATGGGGATCAACGTCACCGGGACTTGGTTTCTCTTTGGCTGACCTCTATTGACGGCTCTCCGCGGGCCAGCAAGCTTAACTTTGCCAACCGTGAGCCAGCCCAGACTTGACCACCATTTGCAGAGTTGCCCCAAGTTAGCTGACTTGCAGGACCAACGCAGCGAGACCAAATTGCCGGGCAACCGTTGACTGGGGGCCCCCGCTCAAGCTATGTCCCAACAGGTGCGCAAATCCAAAGGTACCTGCAAGATGCTTCCAAAGGCACGGGTTTGTTCTGAATGGGGTCAAACGACCCTAGGAACTTCGGAAGACTCATTCACAAATGTCGGCCGGCCCATAGCTGTCAAGCCCGACGAGGCAAGCAGATCAAGAACCCTCTTACTCCCCTTGCCGGTCCCCGAAGAGAAGACTCCTTTACCACGGTTGACTGTGGCCGGTGGCAATCTGCTGGTTGGGTTTTTGTGTAGGCCCAAGCGTGTGGGCCCCCAGCCACTGGAGGCCGATGGATGCGCCCTTCGACCTCACAGCGAGCCGGGAGGCCCTGCAGGAGAGCCCCAGGAGAGCACGGTGGAGGGGATTGAAAGCCCAAAGGGCAGGATCTGATCCCAAAGGAGCGATGAATAAAATCCACCTGCGTCCATGTACTTGTTGATTGAGCTAAGTGCATCGTTGCGGTTGCTCAGGTACCAGGCTGAAGGTGCGATGGGAGTTTGCAGTTTGAAGGGGGTGAAGGACTCAGGCTGGATGGCATCACAGTTCATTCTGCCCAGGAGGTGAGCAATCTGAGGGCCAGAGGGGCGAGCAGAGCGAACAGGTTCTCCCTCCAAAGCAGAGTGCAAGTCGCACAACCCAAAACACGCACAAAAGGTGCCAGGGATTGCTTTTGGGGAAGTTTTTCAATATCCAACTGCTTGACTTCAAAAGGGCAGTCGCGCGAACCACTTGTTGTGCTTTGCTTTGCGCGTGGCGTATTTGGGAAGGCAAAGCTCTGAAGGGTCTGTTCGAAAAGGTCAGCCGTGATTCCATGACGGAGTTTCTCTCACACCGACGAATGGGGTGCAAGACAGTGTTCAGCGGGCTGGTGGGGACAACCACCGCTCCCGCCCTCCCTCTCCCCCTCCAAAGTGCTTTTGCTCAACGGCTTCTAGACAACCTTTAGCTTCTATGACACTTGGTTCCTGAGGCCGGTATTTTGCTTCAAGCTCTCATTAGAAGCCCCGCCAAGTAGGAACCTGGAGCTCCGGGATGCGCTCGCGGAGTTGTGGCTGCCGCCCGGCGAAGCTGAAGCGGCCGCAGGAGAAGAGGTTGGGGGGCTGGCGCTTCTACAGATTTAGGACAGCAGGGCAGTGGCACATTTTGTTTGAGGGAAGAGGGCCCTGCCATATGCATGGCAGGAAGTAGGCTGAGGGTATCCCTGCCTATTGTGGAGGCCTCCTTCGCGGCTTTGGGAGGCTCCCGAACCCGAGGCAGGCAGTCCAGACGGACGACCGGCTCGCTCCACGCGCCTTCCTCCTGCAGCCGGGCCTGGAGCGCCTCGCACGCAGTCTCGGATGCTCAACTAATCAAACGAGGGGTGAGGCTTGGCATAGGAGGGTCGGGATGCTGAGGGGTCGTGCAGTGGGCAAACTATTTGTGTGTGCTGCTTCCTGAGGTGTGCAAAAGAGATTGTGAGGGTGGGGCAGAAGGCAGTTTCTCAGCATAACCGTGCATATGTCAGATACGTAGCACTGTTGCTGCTGTCTCGCTTGAAGCGCCATCCATGATAATCGCTATTGAATTAAATTAGTGTTTTTGCTTTTTGTATTTCAGCGGTTTTCCTGGGCTTTTCTGCGCTCAAGTTTTCCTGAGGCCCTCGTAGCAAAGATCGCTCTTGCGGGCTTGAATGCTCGTGAGCTCTCGCTAATGCTCTTGGGGCGCCAGCGAGCTCCCAGCTTCAAGTTCGAGCGCGTGCTGCTCAGACAGCCTTGCGTTGAATTCGCGCTCTCCGTTTCCGGGTTTCCGGCTGGCAGTCCCGGTCTTCCTGTCTCGGGCGGGCTTTCACGGGGAGTCGCTCTGAGGCTCGGCGGCTTCTGGGCGCCCTTTGCGCTGCAGGTGCGGCGGGGCTTGCAGGAGGCGCCCCTCATCCCCACAGCCAAGGGCAAGATGTCGCTGAGATCCTGCCGCAACCCGAACCCCGGCCGCTGGAGGGGGGCGAGGCCACGGGTGAGCCTCCGTTTAGACGGGCCTTTTGGCCTCCTTTTTAGGCTTTAACTGTTAAAAACAATTGCGTGGGCCCGGCCATGTCTGATCCATTTCATCCCTCCTTCAGGAAAGCTAGCTTTCACTTACAGGCCCTGTGGAAATTAGCAGGTTTCGTCATCCAGTCATTGGGGGGTAGCAAAAATCACAACTGTCTGACTTGGCAACCGTGCCCCCAGCAGTATCCGCAAATCTCTTTGCTGCGGGTTCCTTTTCGGATTGCTCAAAAGGGAAAAGCACAAGGACACCGACCCCATCAGATCAGAACAGAGGCCAAACCCAGAACTTTGGGTTGTACTTGTGAATGGCAGACTGCCCTGGGTGCATGTTTTCACTGCGCCTTGTGTCAAAGCGGCTGCGTCGTGTTTGCAACCTTCTATGTACTGTTCCAAAAAACGGGCGATCCATGCCCATGTGTTTGTTGCCCTTTCATCTGCACTCCTCCTTGTTGCGTGGGGAGTGCCAAGCAACAACCAAAAAGCCAGCGGTCATTGCCGCTTCCTCCGCTCAAGCCGCTCATGCGAGTCCCCGTGGCCACATGCCCTCGTTCTGGACCCGCTCATAGTTCTCCGTTGTCACATGCCCCTGACAAAACCTGCACGGTGTCAGCGGAACCTGTGGCTCTCGTCCGATTCCGGGGCATCGGTGATTGGCATGCAAGAAACCATCCTGCCCTCGCCACGATCTCGCTCCTCGACGCCCCTTCTCCAAGCCAGCAGTTCGGACAGGGCAGCACCGCCCGTAAGCCCCTGGCTGTGGCATTCCTCAGCCCGAAGCAATTGCGACGCCAATGCACCTTATCTCCAATAGCCGATGATGTGGTAGATTTCCGTTGCCTCCGGTTCCGGTTGCAGCTCTCTCCATCGTAACTGCTCCATCACCATGAGCTCCTCGCGCCATCTGGCATTCAGGCGCTCATCGACCTCGTCCGGCTCAGCCGGCCTTGCTGCAGCGGGCTCCTCACCGACTTGCCCTTCTGGCTGACGTTCACCACCTCCACGTCGCCTTCTCAATGTTCTTGCCGTTGACGGATCCCCGCTGGTAGAGCTCGAAGACCTGGCCACCGAAGTGCTCGATGCTCTTGGCACGTCGATCACCTCCTCATCGTCATCAGTTTGGGTGCCCTGCTCCGCGCTCATCACTCTGAGTTGCCGTATCTTTCCGCAGAAAGCCGACGCCACTTCACTCATCAAGCGATACACCACGATCGCAACCACTGCGATCAGCAGCACCACCACCGAAAGATCCATTCTTTCCTCCTCCTGTTGTTGACCTTCTCCTTGGGCCCTGCATCCGGCCACCATAATGAGGATCACCAGCAACTTGATCCACTTCTCCTTGCTACCTTGCACCACTGTCTTGTTCAATCTGACAGCTTCGCTCTCTTCTCGCATAGCCTTGAGGTCCCAGAGGCCACACAACTCCTTGATCCTCGCCGGGCCCAAGGGCTTGGTGCCAAGGTCTGCCAACATCTGCTGTCCCGGGCAATGGCGTATCTCCCAATCTCCGGCCCTAATCCTCCACCTCAAATGGAACGACCGAAGACGGAGATGTCTCGTCCTCCATGAACCCGTGACATCCGTTGCTATCGCCACCGCTGCCGCGTTGTCCGACAGCAGCATTTTCTTGAAGTTATCCATCACCTTCCCCGAGGATCACACCGTCAATTGCTTCGATCAGCTCGCTCTCGGCTGTTGACAGTGCTGGAAACGCCTGTTTCCCGGCTTTCCACGCGATGACCGTACCATTCCACGCCACCAAGGAACATCCTTGACTCCTTTCTCCCAATGGTGCGAACGACGCATCTGCGTAGGCCTGCAATCCAGCTGCTCCATGTCCAGACCAATGTCGTCCAGCATCCCCGGACACCCACAGTCCCCAGTCCTTCGTTTCCTTCAGGTAACCCAGGACATAGCCCGCAGCCTTGATCGTCCACTTGGGATTCTTGGACGTCATGCTGCACATGCGGCTCATGCTGTAGAGGAGGTCTGGCCGTGTTCTCGTCATCAGCCACAAAATCTCCCCCGTCACCTTCTGAGCCTTCGTGAGGTCCATGGCCGTGAAGTTGCCCGGGTCCTGATCCGTCTGCCAATTCCTTGGACATTGGCGTCTTGGATCTCACCAGCTCATCCTTATGTCTTTTCAGCAGCTCCTCCACGTAGTCGCTCTGATGCAGGAAGATGCCGCCCTCCTTCTTCATCAGATTCATTCCCAAAAACCGGATTTGGCGATCCTCCGTCAGGACGTCTGGCTTACTCGTCTCCCATCTTTCTGAGATCACGGCCTCAAACCTTTCTCGCACCGACTCCTCCGTTGCCGTGAGGACGTCGTCCACGTATATGGACACCAAACCGGCCAACACCTCCGTTCCATCACGAACCTCCAAGATCCGCCACAGATTCTGCTCCGCAGCGCACTGCTCCAGTTTGTAGTAGGCGCCGTTCACCTCCCAAGTCAGCTTCGCAAGCTCGGCATCCCGGTGGTCCGACCATCTCCTCGGGCTCTGCCGAAGCCCATACATGGCCTTGTCGATCAGCCACAGCTCACCCGGCTCCGCGTAGCCCAATCTGACCATGATAGTTGGCGGTCTCATCGCCACCAAATTCTCCGGCTCCCTCTCCTCGTGCAGATCCGCATTGAGGAACGCAGACTTGATGTCCAGCGCCGACATTGTCCATTTCCTTTCCATGGCCACCTTGACCTGCAGGCGGATTGCCGTTATGTCCGTTCCCCCCGCAAAGGTGTCACCTTCCGCCTCCGTGTCCCGCTCCACATGGTTCCCACAGACCACCAATCTGGTCTTCCGTCTCGAACTCCCGGCTTTCACACTGAAGATTGCCTTGGCAGGTACCACTGACAGTTTGCTGCCTTTTTCCTTGATCAGCTTCTCGGCCTCTCTGGGTGGCACTCTCCGAAGCGCCTGCTTCTCCGTCATCAGCGAATCCAGCTCGGTCTTGATCGAGGCCGCCCAACCTTCCTTGTCCGAGATCACCTCGTTCGGGGACACCATCTTTGTGTGCAGTATCTTCTCCGCCTCCGTCTGATCCGGAACCGTCTGCTTCAGGCTCTCCTCCTCCTCACGCAGTTTCCGCACCATCCGAAAGGTCATCTCTGCCGTTTCCTTCTCATCTTCCAACATCCTCTCTTCTTCTTCCACAATGGTGTGGCGAAGCAGCCGAATCCTTTCCGCCACCTTGTCACCTCCACCATCGTCCATTCGAGCTGGGTCGCTCGTCTTCACCCTCATTCTCCTTCTCACACGAAGGGCCTCGTCAAAGAGAGCATCCCCTTCCCGGTTCTCCTCTTCTTCATCCACATCTGCTCCGAGTGCGTCCGGAACCTCCCCTTCTCGCAATCCGGAGAGCACCTTCGACACCGCAACCACCTTCTGGTCTGCGTTCAACAGCACCGCATGTCCATGCGTGATGTCGTAGAGCGGCGCGAGATATTTGCCCCTCTGGTTCTTGGCCTCGAAGGATTTCTGCTTCCAAGCCCTCTTAGGGACCACCACGTCATTACCTTGTAAAAAGCGATAAGCGATTGCCGGCATCTTGTGATTTCATTACCTTTTTCATTATTTTTCTACTAGTTTTTCCTATTTTTCGCTTTTTTAGTTTTTTTTCTGTTTCATTTTTTTTCTAAAAGCGATTTCTTATTTTTTTCTACAAGTATACTAATATTTTTTCCGCGCCAATTTATTCTGTAGAAAAATTAAATAATTTCATAATATAGAAAAATTAAATAATTTCATAATGTAGAAAAAATAAATAATTTCATATATTTTACTACAATTTTAATCAATAAATTTTACTTTATATTTCTACTTCTTTACTACATACATTTTTATAATTATAAATTCATAATTTTATATTTATATTTTTCTACAAGTATACTAATATTTTTTCCGCGCCAATTTATTCTGTAGAAAAATTAAATAATTTCATAATTTAGAAAAATTAAATAATTTCATAATTTAGAAAAATTAAATAATTTCATATATTTTACTACAATTTTTAATCAATAAATTTTACTTTATATTTCTACTTCTTTACTACATACATTTTTATAATTATAAATTCATAATTTTATATTTATATTTTTCTACAAGTATACTAATATTTTTTTCCGCGCCAATTTATTCTGTAGAAAAATTAAATAATTTCATAATTTAGAAAAATTAAATAATTTCATAATTTAGAAAAATTAAATAATTTCATAATTTAGAAAAATTAAATAATTTCATAATTTAGAAAAATTAAATAATTTCATTATTTAGAAAAATTAAATAATTTCATAATTTAGAAAAAATAAATAATTTCATAATTTCTTCATTTTATCATTATTTTATTAATTTATCATTATTTTATTAATTTATCATTATTTTATTAATTTATCATTATTTTATTAATTTATCATTATTTTATTAATTTATCATTATTTTATTAATTTATAATATCTCATTCATTTAATTAGTGTATAGTTGAGTGTATGTAAGGGCTGGGATAGGTGTAATATTTTTCATAAAGACTTTCTTAAAATTTATATCTCAAATTTTCATATAATTGTATTTCAACTATACACTCTATGCACTCTATGCACTCTATTAACCTTGTAGAATATATATTTTAAATAAGTGTAATAAATATAATATTAGTATATATATATATATATCTACCTTATCTATTATTTTAGGAGTGTATAGTTGAGTGTATAGATATAAAAACCGTGTATAGATTATACTAAATGAAAAAGGTAAAAGTGTATATTATATTTTCATACAAGTTTATAATAGTTAAATTATAAAAATGTATTATTAATAATGAATAAGGTTAAAGTGTTATAGTGTATAGTATGAATACCTATTTAAATTCATTATCTTCTTGATTTTCTACAAACTCTATTTTATATTTTTCAGTTAGGTATGTTTTTAGCTGTTCTTTATCAAACCCATAAATATTACCGCGATTACTCCGTTTTTTTTCTAATCCTTCTAATTTAGATATTTCAATACCAAATTTAACGGGTGTATAAGTTATATTATTAAAATTATTTTCGGACATATATGGTATAAATTTACTAAATAACACACCTGCATCAATCCAATAGGGTTTAATATCAATATTATTTAATGTGTCGCAAATATAGTTTTCTAAAAATCTTATTACAACTGGTATATTTAATTCTCGCATATCATCATACATATCACTAACTGGTCTATTACTGATAAAATCATAATTTGAAATATCAATATTTTTGAAAAAGTCATAAAATGAGTTTAAATATTCTTCTTTATCTAACTCATTATGTAAATTACTAAAATATTCAGTATTGTTGGCGTATTTTGAAGACATTTCAACGCAGAAGAAACGTCTATCATCATTAGGTATTTTAATAGGATTATTATTATTTGTTAAAAATATAAAATTACAAGCATCTTTAACAGTATAAGGTTTCATCATTTTATTATGTATATTTGTTTCATTTCTTGTTATAGCATCTTTAATATTTTCATTATTTAATACACAAATAATTTTATTTTCAATATTACCATTAAATTTACCAAATATTAAATCTGGACTATCAGTATTAATATAATAATCCTTACCGATTAATTTTTGAAAAAACTTAGTAAATGTATCTTTTCCACACCCTTGAATACCTTTTAAAACCATTGCTGTATTAGACTTTTTTAAAGGATGTTGTATAATATTAGCGATCCATTTATTTATATAATCAAAAGTTTTATTATCGCCATTACATACAACATCTTTATAATGCTTCCAAAAGAAAGAATGTTCATAATTTTTAATATTAGGTTGTTTTTCAGAATAATAACCGTCAAAAGTATTGTAAATATATTCAGGAGTTTTTTCACAAGGTAGAAAATCAAAATTATTATAACTTCTAATATGTTCGTCTTTCATCCATTTATCAACAAATCTATATTTTTGAGTTTCACCTTTCTTATCAACATCATTATAATATATATTTTCATTAGTATCAGTAAATTCTTTTTTTGTTCGTTTAATTAATTCTCCAGTTTGTTTATTAATTTCAACATATAATAATGGATTTCTAATTTTGAAATTGTATTCTTCAAACTCTTCTTTCATTTCTTCATATGATATAAACTGTTCCACTTGACTATTATTTAATTCTTCTTCAGTAAAATATCGATCCATTTCTTTATTAATAAATTCTAAATTTAATCCATATTTTTTATAAATAAAATCAGTTAATTCTGTTAATAATTCTGGTTTATATTTTTCTTTAGATATCATAATTCCGTCATAACAGAATACACAATTATTTTTTAAGATAAAACCATTATCGCAACAATAATTATAAACATCTTCTAAGATTCTATTTTCTATATCTTGTAAATAATAACTAATTG